CATCAGTTACGATTAAATGCCAGTGTGAATAGAAATTGGCCAACAAAAAAGACAGAAAATTTCGGAAATGGTAAATAATAAATGCAAGTAATCAGGGCACAAAGTACGGGAGAAGTTTGAAGGAAGCCTGATGATAAGTTGACTTCTTAAGATGAAATAGTTTGAAAGTAAAATTTAAGGAAACTTGTGCATACTGGGGTCGTCTCCTCAATGGTGTCTAGAAGAGCTTCATCTTCATCCTCCATGGCGCTTCGAGGTCCTCGGTCTGCCAGTCTCCGATCCCTTGCTTCCGCCACTCCCAGATCCGTTGCCATTGTCACTACTGCTGAAGATGACGAAGAAGAAGCTGGTGGTGGCATCAAAGCCAATCTAAGGGGCTGTTCGCCAGGTCCAGATGAAGATGGAGCGGCGGCAGATTGCCGGCTCTGTCCTGACTGCTGACGATGGTGATGATGGTGATGGTGACGAAGCTGTTGCTGTACCAACGAGAGGGATAGACCCGAAGCATTACTTGCGCCACCAGGTGCCATAACAACCAACTTCTGCTGCTGCTGTGGATAGGCAAGGATGGCGGTCGTGGTGCTGGACGGCAAATGTGTCTGCAAATGCCCACTAGTAGCCGAAGTGGGAAGAGTAAGAGCAAGCTGCTGTTGTTGGGCCTGAAGTTGATGCTGGTGCTGTGGATAATTATGGTGATTGAGATGAGGGTGTGCCACAGAACTAGTGTCAGCAGCAGAAGAGGCGACTGCCACGAGGCTAGACCCGCCTCCAGATGAGGCACCATTGGCAAGAGCAGCACGAACGGCTCGGAGGCGGTAGCGCTCGAACCGATCATACCTACGTAAAGAGTAAGTTGGAATTGAGAATGCAAGCAGTTATGCGCATGCTTTCGCCTACTCAGGAATATAGAAGAAAATGGCATACTTGATTTAATGAATATAATATGGAATAGCTATCAAATAATTAGCAAACTTGTTCAGACTTTTGAGAAAGTGATTACGCCCATTATAAACTAGCCAGGATAAAAAACAATGAAGATTAGGCCGTCTAAGTTTGAAAGTATCCATCAAAAGACAGAAGACAGTAAATAATGTCAGATATAGAAGTTTATCTATTTGGAATATATTCAGGACGTTTTATCAATGATGGAACCTAGCCTGATTAAGGAAATGGCGTCATTAGAAGCCCATAATTTATATGACCAAAGTATAGGAAGATAGTGTTCCTACT